CGCATATCCTGTTCGTACCCCGAGGCAGAGTTCGCAAACCGAGGTAAATTTTTGTGGCTGGAGCTGGTCGTAACCCGAAAAGTTCGTTAACAGAGGCGTTCGTAACCCGAGGTTCCACTGTAAGGTACAAATTAGAAAATGATAAAATCACATCAATCAGCATGATTAAAACTGCATCTATGAAAGCTTGGGAAAATAAAATTTTAAAAAAGTCTTTGCTTTGACTGAGAAGACAATAAAATTGGCACCAGATGGGCTTTCTTTAACTGGAGAACCACTACTGAGATAGTGGACGCCTCCTTCAGTGGTTGTTCATTGAAGGTCTAGGTAGGTTCATATCGAGGTAAACAATTATTCAGGTAACCTGGTCATAAGCCATAAAAAAGGCTTTAAGGATCAAACCCAGCATTCTGAGTTAAACTTTGAAACAGACTAGGAGTGGTTTTATCCAAATTTGATGGAAAGGAAAAGCAGGGTAACTAGGAAAATCAACAGGGTCATATTTCCTGTCTTTGACCCAGCACAGGTAGGACAAAGTGATCTTAATGCCAAAATAGGACTGTATTTATTATTTTATTTCTTGCTCCTTTCATCTTTCAAATGCACCATCTCCTCTGAGCAGTGTATATCTCTCATTACTTTACAACTGGGGCCCCAGGAAACTGACAGTACATGTGCTTTTGTGAGCAGTAAAAGGTTTAATGAGAACTTTTCAATAAAATGTGGCCTTGCAAGAAAACAACGTGTGGAAGTTACATTTCTCTCTCATAAGTTGTATTTCCCAGAAATGTTATATTTTGTGTCTGTTTTTGAACATCTTTGCTGGGAAGGAAGGTAGCACTATGGGAAATGGTAGGATCCTACAGAAGATGGGCCCTGAAAATTTCAGCTTCTTCCTCTGCATTTAAACAAACAAAATATGAGCTAGGAACATATAATTTTAAAAAGTCTGTGAAGTTCCTCCTTTGATAATGACATTATGGAATGCCAAAACAAGTTAGAATGAATAGTAGACTTCACATCATAATTCTCAGAATATTTCTGACTGTACAATCCCCTGCAGATTTCTTTACCATAATTAGTTTAGTCCTAGTGCATTGATTAACAGGAGCATAACAGCCAAGAGAATTCCCATTGTGTATCATTTAATCAAATAAACTGTCTGCATCTAACATTACGAGAAGAGAACATCATCAGCCATTACACCACCATAAGCAGTCAATGTTTCAATAAGTTGCTAAAACATAATTTTAAAATTATAGCTGTTGTCAGCTGAAGAATTTATATGCATGATGCTTTGCATAATATTGAAAACTGCTGTTGTGAATACACAGACAGCTATTTTATTTTTTAATTTTCCTTTAGATCTTTCAAACAGGGTGGTGACTGATTTCTGAGAGATGGGTTACTATCGTGGGAAGGACTTATTTCTGAGAGATTTATTTACATGTTATCACATTTATTTACATTTATCACGTTATGTTATCACGTAAATATCAAGTTATGAGCTGAAGGCTTGTGCATATAGGATTTCCACTCATTTTATCCTTATAACAAATCCTGTGAGTTAGGTTGGGCTAAGAGTGATTGGCTTTAAGTTATCTAAGAAGAAACATTAATGAATTGTGATTAGATCTCCCCACTCTACCCAATATCTTAAATATTTGACTATATATGTTGTGGTTCACAATGAACAAAATTGTCATTTCAATATAATAAACACAAAGCCCTTATTGGTAAGGTCAGGAACTGGCCCATAATTCAATGTTTATAATACAGTGGTCATAAAATTACCCTAAAATGTAGTTAATCCAGCTGCACAAACCAAAATCCAATAAATATTTAAATGGGAAACAAAACCTCAAAAGTCATCACATTGAACTTCAGATAATGGTTGATTACACTTACACCAAAAACTCATTTAAAATCAACATTTATGCAACCTTGGCAACACACAGTATTATATCCACATGACCATGTTACAACAGAAATACATAAACTTCACAGCGACATAATATAGATAACCTATGGACAGCCCTCGTATTGGCATCTGTTTTCTATTGTTTAATTTAATATCAGCTATAGATAATATATATTCCAATGAACTCTAGTTTCAACTGAATTAAACCCAGAGTACTTACTTTTGTGATAAACTATTTGCTTTACCTGTTACATTTGGTTGTTACATGCAAATTTCCTTATGCACTGTAGAAATAAACTTCTGACTAGAGTGGAAATTATACATGCAGTTTAGCCAAACTTTGTGATCAGTATTGGCACAAGATTCCAGTGAAAGTGGAGACCCAACCATGTGAACTGGGGATTCCAGAAATTACAGCATTATCAAGTGCAACCAGTCATGTCTTACCCTTGCAGTCTTGATTTATGGGCAAAGACCGCTATGAACAAGAATCTTCCTGGAGAAGGTCATTTTAAATAAATCATTTCATTAGAGGATTAGCTTGGTTAGCAACTTGCGTATTCAAAAAGCAGCAACTACCCGGATTAGAGGAGAAGAATTCAGTACACTAGACATTCACAGAAATGGAAAACAGCAAAGAACTACAATTTCAAACAAGCGTGAATTCCTATTCTATAGTAACTGACGGTCAAATTTCAAACTGAAGTTATATCTTTGATTGTTGACTCTTATTTCTCACCCTGATCAACTAAAAGTGAGTTAGATATTCTTCACAGAAAAGCCTGACATTTTTTAGGAGTGCACTTGTGGTGACAGAACAACTGGTGTGTTTGTTCATCTCAGGGCAATAGAAAAATCCTGTACTTTGCCATCAAAAGAATTAGATTTCACCCTAAAAATCAAATGCAAAGATAAAGTAATCAAGCTTTTTCTTTCAACAAACACAAAGTAATCTGAGCTTACCTCCACATACAGAATAGGGAATATTCCAATTTTATCTCCCAGCATTCCTTCTGCCCAATTATCATCTACTCTCCTGATGACAGTCAAAATTTCATCCTAAAAAATGATAGAGATTACAACATAATACACAAAATAAAGATATGATTTTTTTAATATTCCTGTTTCTGGAAGGGGGAGGGAGAAAGCTGATTTCTTCAAATATATCTCACAAACTTCCCACAAAGCAAAGCAGAAACAAATATTCCAGGAAGCAGCCATAATTTTCACCAGAATAAGATATAACTAGCTACACATTTCCAACTACTCTTCCAACTACTTGAAAGACTACAAATTGATTTTTTAAATTGCATTTAGCCATTGCTAAAAAAACAAAGTATGAAATCATTTGGTGCTATCTTGATTTGTTTGTAATGTTCTAATTCAAATTACATTTCCTTATATTTCCATTTCAGCATTATATGTGTATGCGTTTAAGATAAGAATGGCAGATAATTCAGTTCTGGTACTCAAATTTAATTTTGAAGTGTATGCTTTCTACACTTGACTCCAGTTCAAAGAACCTGGTTTTCAAGTAAAAACAACATAGATCCCCAAACCCTTCTTGCAAGGAATGCAACTTATATTATGAAATGTGTTCATGTGTTTTACATTAACTCCTTTCCTTCTGCTATATAAAGTATTTCCTTTTTCTATTTCCTCTATTTCCTTTTTCAGCTGTAATAATTCGCCTATCAATGAGTACAGTGACAAACATTTGATATGCCAATTATTATAGCTGAAAAAGAATAACACAACTTCATGCCTCCTTTTATTGACAAAATCTGGCTTTTCAAATACGCCATGGGCTGAAGGGCTTTGTGATTCCACCGAGTAAAGATCAATAAGGGATGATTGAGATCGGTTTTTTTAATAGCAAAGTTTAGTTTTTATATCTTTGGCATTCTGAATGTTTTTATTGAGTTTTTCAGGTAAGCGACTTTGAATCTTTTCTGATTTGGTGGCCCTATAAAAGCCAAATAAACAAACAAAGAAATACCAGATCCTGTGGTCATTTCAAATCTGTTCTGAAGCATCTTTACAGAGAATTTCCAAAAACTACAACTAGAAAATATAAAATAATTAATTTGGAGCTCTGAGAATTTGAAATCCATAAAGATATATTGACAGAAAATGACAAAAATACTGTGTAGCACAAAAGGAAGACAGATACTGTGTTGGACTGAATTAGGGTCACAAACAGTACGCCTGAGTTCTATCGTCAACACTGCAGAAGCTGGTTTGGTTGTTTCTGCTTCTACATGAGTCCTTTGGCTGCAGGGCTCCTACGTCTTCTGAGCAGTTGCATGAATCCAAGGGCAGTTGGCTTGCTCCCCGCCTTTCCCATAAACAGAGGATAAATGCCTCCTGCTCTTGGTGAAAGCCCCTCCTCTTCCTTAGTTATAAGGAAAGGACAGTATATTCATCTTATAGGCTTTCCCCAACACTTTTTCATCTCCATCTGCCTAGATGTGATGACCACGGATTTGAAGGCAGAAAGATACTTCAAGGCATGCAGGAGTGCCCATGTAGTATCGGTCTGTAATTCTTAGAAACAACAGACATATTTTTGTGCAACTGCACAGCAGTTGTGGTGAGCAGCCTCTTGGGAAATGGTGCAGCTTCTTTAAGGAAGCAGTTTTCTGCTTTCAAATGCAAAGTACCACACAACCCTAATGAATATAATGCAGTGAAACCTCTATTTAACAGATCCCCATTTGGTAGACTTCTGATGCAGCAGACCACCCTGAAATAATGGACAAGCCTGTTGCATCAAAAATATGTTATATGCATTATAACTACAGTATATTAATTTTATATTAATGGTGTATTATGTCACTCAAGACAATTTATGTCATTTAGTGAAATAAATCACCACAAATCATGGAATCTGCAAATTAGATTTGTATGCTGGTGAAAAGTATGCAGAAAGATGCATACAAGAAGGGAAAATACACACCAAAAAATTATGCTTGGGAAAAAAATACATATAAAAAGGTGCATACTGGAGGAAATGCATAGAAATATTTATATTATGAGAAATACATGTAAATTCTTCATGTTGGCTTAAAAAAATATCACAACTTGACAAGGAAACAAGGTGGAATATATTTAAGGCTGTTAAAAGGAGCACAGCAAAATTGATTTGGCAGATTCACTGATATGTAGACTAAGCTGTCTGCCTAATTTCCATCTCATGCAACTCTGGAATGTCATAAAACTACATCAGGAATGAAATCAGTGGGATGATACTCTAGTACACAAAATATACCATTTGCAGGACAAAAGCACAGCTGTTGCCAGCTTTGGAAAGTGCCTTTGAACATTCCACTGAAAAATTCAGTGGGTCATTCCAGGTCTTTTGGACTCAGATCAGATTCTCATGTCACATATTATATGAAAACATCAGATGTGCACAACACTTACCATTCTGCTCCACCACAATATTATAACATACAAATTACTAACATACAGTTCCCTGAACTGTTTATATTTCATGCTTACAAAAACAAACATTCTGCATCTGGTAACCTGTATTTCTACACCAAGGATACACAGGAAAAAAACAAGGGTTGTAGTAACATCCTTCACAGCAGATTGTGAACCAACTCCTTTATCCTAGTCCATTTTTTTCTTATTTGCAATACTGATTATGTTACATAATTTATTTGGGTCAATGATTCAAAGGAGGTGTCACCAAGGGCGATGACTGTAATAGACTTTGCCTACTAACATTCAGGCATATTTTGTAACCATACAGATTGGAAACTAGAGGAAGGAGAAGGAGAAGGAGAAGGAGAAGGAGAAGGAGAAGGAGAAGGAGAAGGAGAAGGAGAAGGAGAAGGAGAAGGAGAAGGAGGAGGGGAGGAGGAAGGGAGGAGGAGGAGGAGGAGAGGAAGAGAAGGAGGAGAGGAGGAGAAGGAGAGGAGGAGGGGGAAAGAGAAAGGGGAAAAGACTAGAATCTTTTGATTCTCAAAAGACTAGAAACATTGCCTAGTACCACACTGTGTCTGTTGTGGAATTTGGCAGGTACCCAGCTCTGACCATGATGAGCTCCATATGTTCCCAGGGTTCAGGCACAGACTTGACAGGAATGAGTTTCTCTTGTCCAGACTGGCTTCTTATGCTCTCTTTTATTTTAATTCAAGACAAATTCGAGGAGATTAGACTAAATCTATTAAAGGCACCCTCTGAATCAACAATGGCTGCTGAAGAAGATGCTGTGTTTGTGTACTGCCTGTGAATTTCTGGGAAGCACTTGACTGGTTAGTATGTAGGATGCTGGGGTAGATGATCCCTTGACATGATCCAACAGGATTCCTTTGTTTTTAAATTGTTGTAAGCTGATTTGGGAGTGTCTTTTAGAAGGAGGGTATGAACTGAATCAGGAAATAAACAATCCATCATTTATTTACATAAATGATGAAGTACCACTTGATCTAACTGCACTGTCTGCTATTCTATGCATACTGATTTCCATCAAACAAAGCTGTGAATCATTGTTTCAAAAGCATTGTCTATGGTTCTGCAATGAGATGTTACGTCCTTTCTTCTGTCCCTTGTTGCTAATATGCCTCAGAATTAATCACTGTCTGACCGTCTGCTCAATGTTATTGTTAAAATGAGAAATTCTATTTTATCACTGACATCAAAAGCTATGCTGGAAATCAATCACTACAGTCAAAATTGGTTTTATTTTTATTAAACGGAGTAGAAGTCAGCTCTTTTTGGGGGAGGGGGAAATTACATGGAATTATGTTTCGAACAGACTCAAGCCACATATAATGGCATTTATTAACATCATTCCTGGCATTTTATTGAGAAAGTATAGCCAAACTGAGTAAGAGAAAAGGAGAGATGGTGGCAGAATAGCATCATGTCACATACTCTTCCACTGTCAGTGTCATCCTTATTTGCCAACTAGTAATGACAATGTAGCTATTTATAATTAGGGAAAAAGAACTACCCATACGAGGATAAATGGCAAAAGATCTAATACAAGTATTTGAATCAGGCATAGTTAGTATACTTAAAATAAATAATTTGAAATTGAAAAATATGTGAAGAGGGACATCTCACTTTCTCCAATACTCACTAGCCTCATGTGCCTCATACAAATTATGTATTCTATATAAATCCCCCTTTAATTCTGAATCAATGCTCTGAGCTGAGAATGAGGAACAAATGTTCTCAGGAGTGCCTGCCTACAATTTTTCTTCAAAGGAGTACTGAGTAAGGACTTGAGATAAGAAGGAACTGTCTGCCTTCTGAAGGCACAGATCCAGCTGCTTTGCTTTTCCTTGGTGTGCCTGAGCAACAACATGTTCATTTAACTCACAACAACCTCGTAGCAAGCTTATGCTGAGAGACAATGACTGGCTTAAAGTCACCCAGGTAACAAGCTGCCTTTGGCTCTTCCTCAGCTCTCACTTGACAGCAGCTATTCCATCAGGTGGGAGCAGCGGGAGAAAAGAGATGCAAGATCACTTCTTTTGCTCTGCTAAAAAACATTTTACGGTTTTGCCTTCTCTGAACTGTTTCAGGTTTTTGTTTTTGGTACCTTTGAACCATCCTTGGCTCCTGGTGACTGCCTGGACAAGTCCTTGCAGTTTTCTTGGCAACGTTTTTGGAAGTGGTTTACCTTTGCCTTCATCCTAGGGGAGAGAGAGAGAGGGCCTGGCCCAAGGTCACCTAGCTGGCTTTGTGCCTAAGGCAGGACTAGAACTCCTGGTCTCCCACTTTCTAGCCTGGTGCCTTTACCACTAGACCAAACTGGCTCTCATTTTAATTCTACCCCGTGATTATACTAATTTTGTCCATTTCTGGCTTTCCCCTCACCTCCACAATGCTTTTACCTTTGGAGCTGTGCTTTAAGATAAAGTCTACCTTGTTGGTCTGTGAGCCTTTCAGCTGTCAGAGTCAAAAAAAATAAGTAACTAAATAAAGCCTCTGCCATTTCAATTGATTAATGGCCTCTTATTAAGTCAGAAAATCATCCCAGAAGAAGACAAGAACAAACATCTTCCACAACACTACCAAGAAAACTCCATGGCTGGAAT